CGCTAGGTCAAGAACAGTCGCTACGAGGCCTGCCGTGCAGTTGCGACCTCTGAACCCTGTACCCATATGCTATGCGACCGACTGAGTCGCTGCGACTGCCTCGGGGAGCGACTGGGAGCGATATCCAGTGACATTCTTCCTGGTGCAACTGAGATCTCCTAGAACCTGCAATCGTTTGACTTCCTGTGATCCATCCATGCGATCGAGCGACCATGCGATCATCTGGGAGTCGAGTCGCGACCCAATCGCTGCGATTGCGAGCCATTGCGACCGCTATTTAGTGAAAATAAAATAAAAGTGCGCTACAGCCTACTGCAGTCGTCAAGACTTCGTTCGGAGTGTACCGGCAACGCTGGTGCGCATCAGCGGGAGCGGTCGCTCAAGCTCCTCTCTCTCAAGCGACCGCGACCGCACTGCGCCAGCACTCTACAACGAGCCTACAGCTCATATTTCTTTCACCCACCCACCCACGCCTTTTGTATTTTCTTGTTGGACTGTGACTCTAGCGGGAATCGCTCACCGTTCAGAGCGTCTCCCGCGCAAGGTCGAGCCGCACAGTTTAGAGTCACACGTCGGAAAAATCGCCGTGATTTTTCTCCCGCCTTGCACACTAGTATACGAGTTGTATTGTATTCTCCACAACTATCTACGTACACACAGACCGAGAAGCTAGTACGAAAACTAACCTCTACTAGTCTGACTTTGCACAGATACAGTATAGCACGCCTGCGGGCACAGAAGATTCACATTCATCCACCCGCCGCGGCGCGTTTTGACTTCTCATTATTGCAACGCGCATCTCATTCCCGTAAATCGTGCATGATAGGCTGCGCGTGCGTACTGCGATAGACCGGCTGCAACTGCGCCCGCCTTCGCGAACGTCGCTCGACCGCGCTGACGTCGACGCTGGGCGCAGCGTGCCCGCCATGCGCCGTCAAAGGGAGAAGGGTCGAGGGAGAAGGTCGAAGGGCAGAGGTGGCTATGACATCGTCCACGTCGCAGCGGTGCGTCGTCCTCGTCATTCTCTCAAATCCAACTCCGCAAACCCATCAGTTATCGTTTAGACTCGGTGCGCGCCCTTGGACTCGGCTCGTTGCTGCCCCATGCATCCATTCGAGTTCGCACCCGGGCCCCCGCCGCTCACCGTGTCCACGGAGTACTGACCAGCTGCGCCTTCCCAACGCATGGTTAAAGCGTCCTGCTCGCACATACCGCGGATCGACAAAAGGGTCTCCCGCGGCCTCGCCTGCCTACCGCCAGGAGGTGCGTGTGCCCTGTGTTCATTACCCCTTCGGCCGTGGCCCACCCAACTCTGTTCAAAGTCATCTGCGCCTGCTTTCCCGAGATCAACGCGTCGAAGAGCCTGTGTGAAGGACGATTCTCGCGGTACAATACAAGATTCAATATACAATATCCAATGCGCAAGCTTCAAGACGCAGAAGCCCGACGGAAGCTCGAAGCTCGAAGCGACAATCCTGAATCAACGCGAACGACCGTCTCGCGATCACGTACGTACGCGTACGTATGCGTGGCGTGGGTTTGCGCCCGCCCCCGCGTACGGTATAGTGTGCGGTGGTATATAACCTAATGTCTGCGTGCGTGTGTATGTCCCGCCTACGGGGCCGCCCATCATGGGGCCACATTCAACGTTCAGGTGTCAACGTTCAACGTTCATGGGAGAAGCCTCATCCCGAGGTCGCGAAGAGGGTGCGTCCGTCGTACGTACACCGTAGCGTTACGACACGCCGCTCGATTGACCGACCATGGCGGGTGCATTGTACACAGCCTGAATCCCAGGGAGGCCGTAAGCGGACGGCACCACCGATCTCGCCATACCGTAACGTGAGTACTCTGCTTCTGCACTCAGGCCCCTAAATACTGCCTCGCGCTCATATGTTGCGACAACGTTCATATATCGCACTCGTGCCTCGGACGCAGATGCCACTGTAGATAACCGATCGTGCGAGCTTCGAGGTGAGGGCATATAGTGGTGCGCCCATCACTGCGACCCATCGAAACTGGACAGGGGCGCGTTCTGGAAGGCCCGCCTGCGCTCGACGCTGCCGTAACGAAAATCTGGGGTAAGCCCACGCCCATTCAATATCAAAATTGAATATATATTGAATCCTATTCGAATTCTAACCATTCAGTTCCATCACATCCGCTTTACAGCACTCGTTGAAGCCTCTCGATCTCGCTCTCAATCTTACGGGGGCGCGATGCGATCAGAGTCACGGGTGCTTATCTCGACCTTCAACGTTCGACCCTCGAAAGTCGTTTTCAACCGGCGCGTTGCCAGCTTGCTACTCGGCGCGCGTTGCCCAAACACGGCTATGTCCGCCTCCCGCCCTTGTGCGGTGCGCACGCTGACTGAGCCCGCGGGCCTGGTGCAGCCTGGCCGACGCACGCCTTGGGCGCAGAACTATTCTCGTGTGCGTCTTCCCGCTTTACGTGGTTATAGAAGACGACACGGCATTGTTAGGTGCGAGTCGGTGTCGGTGAGTGTGCTCTTTTGTTCTTGCTCGTCTAGCGGCCCTCAGGCGACACATCGAATGCTAGGTGCTTATCAATTTGCAGCATACACTTGTCCAGGCTCATGCTTTCTGCGAGAACAGCGCAGGACTCTTGACTAGGACCTGACTCCTAGGAATTCGAAGCACTGCGGTAAAGGACGAAGACTCAGGATGGCCCTTGTGCAGCCCATCATACCATCCCGTATCCCGCCTTCTTCTGTTCCGCCGCACGCAAGGAAGCATCTCGCGATCGCCCGCTCTGAGGTTCAGGCGGCGCACTCGCCAGAGTCGCCACTGTGCGCGTGCGCTGACCGAACCCTGGCTGACGTCGACGCTGACGCTGACGCAGCCTGTGCGTCTGGCGTGGTGCTATCCGTGGGCGCGCTCCTACTTTACGAGATCTGTGCAGCACAAGGATATCGGGTGCGGGTCGGTGAGTGCATCTGTTCGCTCTTGCTCTTGCTCGTCTCGTGCGTACGGCGCGGCGCCGCGGCGGCGGGGGCTCAGAACACGAATGCGGCGCATCGGGCGCTGGGCGATAATGCATTCTGCTTATTCTTGGCTAAGTTTAGGGCTTTTGCGAGAACAGCGCAGGACCTTTGACCCATATCCGTCCCGCCCTCCTAGGAATTCGAAGCACTGGCTTAGAGGACGAAGGCTCAGCATATCCCTTGTACAGCGCATCATACCAGATCATACCATATCACACTACACCATCTCCCATCTCCTTCTATCTCGCCGCAGGCGAGGAAGAGGCTCGCGATCTGAGACAGGCTCAGCCTCCGCCTCAAACTCTCCGTCTCCGACAGCTGATCGTTCCGTGTCTGGAATCAGGACGTCAGGTGCGGCGGCGATGCGTGGCGTGTGCGCGAGCTGCCAGACTCGGACCGCAGGCTGCAGCTGTGTGCGCGTCCGTGAGAGGGTTCCGGCGTGGCGCTGTCCCGCGGACTTCGGTGCGCGCTCAGGCTGGCAGGCTGCGGGCAATGTCGTGGTCCAGCTGCTCTGCTCTGCTCAGGGTGCAGCTTGCATCCTGTCGCTGGGCCACGGCGTCGACCGCGCGCCGTCTCCGGCCCACAACTTACAGCATCCGTGTTGAAGTAGGCTGTAACGCCGTTCAGGTCTGGGAACATGCCACGACCCACTGTAGCAGCCCGGTACGTGTCGGGCGTTGTGCGCGTATTCTTCGCGCTGCTTCTGAACCCGAACACGAATTTAGGCGGCCTGCGCTTTCCGGCATCCAAGTGCGCAGGCCTCAGGCTTCTTCGAGGCTTCGTATCCGCGCCAGCGCGAACGCAGACGCAGCAGCGCGTCAGGGAAGAAAGATTGAAGGAGGACGAAAGACACCTGGCGCGGTTAGGTGGCCGTTAGCACTGCTTCGAACGGGTCAACTGGGACGCGGTGGTGTGCACGTTTCTTTCAAACCCCTGCTTCTTACATTACATTTGAGTCTTGGAATCTTGGAATCTAGCTACGAAGTCGGAAGCCCCTGAGGCTCAGGCTGGTGCTCTGCGGCCGACATACGCGTACTAGCGTGCACTGTGCGGGTGTGTCGTGTTCTGTCGCCGCCGTGCCTGTGCAGAACGGGCACCGTCGCGCGGCCAAGCGCATTAGAAACCTAGTTCGGACCGGTCGCCGGTGGGCCGCATACGGATTCCGACGTACGGTGAGACAGCAAGAGCCTCAACCCGAACGAGGCACCGGTGCGCGATTGGAAGAGCTCTGAGCATGAGATTTCGAAGGCTTGGGTTCCCAGTGACCGGTCGCCAGTGGCGGCTTCGAATCTATTTATCGCTTTCTGAGTCGTTTCTAGGGTCGGTGGTGCGCTGATCTGCGTCTGCGTTTGCATGAGCTGTGCAATAAGACTGCTGTATTGTGCTGCTGCCACTTCTGATCCGGGGCAGCAGATCGCGTTCGAGATGGCGAATCCGAGTCGTGGGCGTCGGCTATTTAGTGGGTCAGAGGTAGGCCGTTTTTGTGTAGCTGTGGCTTTCCAGCGACTCGTCGGGCTGGCAGCGTCGATGCGACCAAGATAGATGTCGATGCCGGGTTGCATATTTTTGTACTTCATTGTGGGAAGAGCAAGCTTCGCTGAATAGAGATTATATCCAGAGGGAAGAGCTCCCGGTCAATTTGCTCAGGTTGTTGTTAGCGTTCAAGAGCTAGAAGATCAAGAAATCTCAGCTACGTTCCTTACTCATAACAAGGATCCTACCAACAACATCTTGCTGTGTGCAATGAGCTGGCGTTTCGACTGAGCGATTGAGCGATTGAGCATGGATTAAAAGGTTTTCGTGAGTCGTGAGCAGCCTCAAGCCTAGTCTCCGTTGCTGACCATGCTAGAAAAGAGAAGACAGTCGTTCCCATTTCTGTATACCTCAAGCCTGAATTTTGAACTCTTAAATTTCGAATTTGAAAAATCTAGAATCAATTCCACTCAAGACCGGTCTCTTATTGTTGTAGCAAAAAGCTGATGCGTACCGTAGTAAAGGGCCCAACCGGGAATTGAACCCGGGATCCCTTGCATTCAAGCATGCGCCCAAAGCAAGTATCTTACGACTAGACCATTGGGCCGACTGAAAAGGTACCTTGACTGACACCAAGTCGTTAGACTCTAAGCGACAGCGCACGACGGCGGCTACACGGACCGGCCGAAGCCGCTGAACCTCGACGACGTCCTCGAACCCTCAGGAACGATACGATATATGAATCTTCTTCTCTCAAGATGATTAAATTCTTTGGTGCTCGGCCGTCGGCACTGTGCACCTTTCAAGCGGCCGACGTCGGCTATGGCGATATTCTCAAAATGAAGGGATCCGACGCCGACGTGACTCAGGTTCTGAGGTGAAGTTGCTGTCGGGTGTATATTGTATGACGTTGGTCGAGGGCGTTCTAACGATGTATCAGGATTACGTTTCTTTTCATTGGAATTCTATGTAACAGGTTCAGAGCTCGACGATCCAGAGTTGACGTCGAGTCGTATCATAGTGACGTATCGCACCTTCTTATACTATCCCTTCTTTCATGCCCTTACAATGTCTCCCCAAAGCTTCAAGTTGTACACGAGTTCTGGGGATAACTCCACGGTTAATGCACGAACCGTTCCTTTGAATGTGGCGTACGTAGACATACGAAAGTCTAACGGTCAACGCACACGGAATTTCGAATCTTCGTTTGTTCGTACCTGGTGAGTTTGTCTGTGCTTGAATAATTCTAGGATTTATCCGTAAGATCCTTTTGTTTCGCCTTTGAAGAACTGTAAATAGGCATTGTGAATGAGCGGGTGCTATTTAAGACGTGCGTTCGTCCTGCAGCCATATCACCTTCTTGCTCTCGACCGCTCTCTAGTATGGCAGGAGCTTTGCGAACGACAGATGCCATCTGTAGACCGGATTAATATGTGTCAAGGATACGTCGAGGAGAGAACGGTACCTTGCACGCTTCCATTGTATAGCGGCCATTTTGCTGACAACTGTATGCAGACCCGTGGTCGTAGGAACAACTCCTGCCATATACCTGGGCGTTCAAATAGGCCAAGAATACAGTTACGAACCTCCGAGTCCGATTGCGGTTCTTTACGTTGTGCTTTGAGGACGATCCGTAGCGCTCCAGAACCGTATATGAAGCCTCTCGAGCTTTCATCCAGAACTCGTTGCCTGGGATCTGTGCAATTTAGCGACGATGAAATTCCTCTCTGTCATCTTTGTATTCGCTGCATATGCAGATATCTTCTTGACACGGACAGTGGCGCAGTCCAGCTCGTCCTGTGTTGCAGGATGCCCGTTTGAGACCACAGACGGATGGGAGTACCTCCCATTCAGCGGTGGCTCTGGTCCAGGGGGTACCTCTTGCGATTATAACGCGCCCTGCGATACGCAAGGCTTGGGGTATTACGTCTGTTCATACGCTGTCAGTGTATTTCCACATTTGATCTTGAGTCACTGTACTGATTCCTGTGTCTAACCCTAAAGCCGAACGGAACGCTCATCCCTGATGAAAGTTTCGGTGAGGAATGTGGTCCGGGCAACTTCCAAAAATGCCAGGCTACCACGCGCATTGTATGCCCTCCCCCAGCGGGAGTCTCCTGTACAACATCGTGCCCGAGCACGGATGGATGGGGAGATGCGCTCCTCAGCACGGCATTCGCTGTAGATAATTCGACCGTCACATGCTCCTATAATTCGGGTGAGCAGTTTGACCCCAGCAGGTGTATCTACTACGCGGTACGTACCTTACGAACTACCGAACTTATTCTTACTAAGTCTGTTGTGCAACAGGACACAGGAGGGCTTGCGTTATCTGAGATAGTTGATCCTCAAGGGCTGAAGACCTGCCCGGCTTCTGCGACCGTCACATGTGCGACGAGCACTACGGCGCCGACGCCGACGCCGTCGACCCCATGCGCTGCAGCATGTCCGGATGGAGGTTGTGTAGTCGGTTGCCCGTCGCAGGCTCTCTCCGGCTGGTTCCTGATCGACCCACCCGATGACGATGAAGGCTCTGTTGAATGCTTGTACGGCGATGCACCAGGAGGAAGGCCGAGAGTTGTCTGCAACTACGATACGGTGAGACCCAACGTTAGCCTATTGTATACAAATGATTGATCTGACTTTAGACATCGGGAGTCGGGGGTCCGAGGCCACTGTGCTTCCCCACGGCAAGTATTACGTGTGCTACGCCAACGCCAGCTGTGTAAAGTAATTTGTGAAGAGGCGGATTTTAGGTTACTTAGGCCAATGTGCAGCTTGCATGTTTCGGCGTGAAATTCTCTGTGGTATATCTGCACGACTAAGTAATAAGCCTTATGCTGTTAGAATACTGTCTGCTTACAAGATTTCAACATGTCATTGCATAACGGCTTTTCTTACTAGGCTGTATCTTAGCTGACCATTGTGCCGGCGCAGGTCAAGCCGCGTACTACGGTGTTCATAGCCTCAAACTCCCGGGCTTCCCCGCATCATTGGAGTCTGCATGAAAATGCTCTAGTCACAAACATGTGTCCATGTGGATCATCAAAGCTGTTAGAAGCTAATATCAGCGGCCCGATAACAATAGAACGATGAACGTGACACTGACCTATAGTCCTACAACGCACATAGCACGAACCGGCGAGGAGAACTAGAGGGCGGTATCCTAGATATAACAAGAAGCATCGGAGTGAAAGAAGCATGCACAACGGGAGCCAGTAGCAATCTAAATAGTAAAGGGGATGGTATAGACGTTCAGCCAAGACGACCAGGGGAAGTTAGATACAGGATACGATTCGACAAAGCAATACGACAAAAAACGCGCGGACACGAGTATGAATACAACTGTGGAATAAGTTAGACCAATGATACACCAATGGATACAGCACCATACAGAGGGAAATTATCGCACCGTATATAATAAAAGAACCCTAAGTGTATTCAGGGAGCACAGGTATTCCAGGTCGACGCAATTCAGAAAGAAAAGTCCATTTCACAACCCCATACGTTCTGCCAACGTCCGATCGGTGCCAGCGTACGAGTTTGCGTTGCTGCTCCGGTGCCCACGTCGGCCGCCTCCGCCTCCTCCACCGCCACCTCCAGAGGACCCGCCATACGTTCCATTTCGCTTCGACGGCCTATCGCGATCGCGTTCTCTTTCACGCTCCTTATCGCGCTCACGGCCCTTCTGTCGCTCCCTTTCGCGCTCCCTATCTCTTTCGCGTTCACGGTCGCGGTCGCGGTCACGATCATAGTCCTCTCTATCCCGGTCCCGCTCGGAATCACGGGGTCTACCGCTGACCTCGGGCGAGCGTGGCCGGCTGTGTTGGCCCTCGTCGACCTCCATCTTCGGACGCGTCATAGGCATCTTGCGGTCTGGAGGCCCCCGAGAAGAGCGCTCACGTGAGTCAGGACGGCGTCCTGCTCCGCCTTGCGAACGGTTCGCCTTGACACGAGGTGGAAGGGAGGAAGGGGGTGCGTCTGACAGACGGGGCTTTTTGTGTGCGCGGGGCCCCGTAGGGGGCAATTTCGACGAGCCGTTAGATGGAGCATTAGCAGGAAGCTGATTGTTGGTGCGCAAAGCTGGCGATTGGGAGTGGGTACGGGGTGAGTTGTTGAAACTGTTCGGACGATTACTGGCGAGGATGGTCGCGTGAGATTTCTCTAGTTCCTCGCTGGAGGGGTCTCAGCTATATCCTATACGAAACAGAACGGATACATACGAGAGATTGGCAACCACTTGATGCGATTCTGCGATGGAAAGTATGGCATTCAGGACGATTAACACTGCTCATGACGCTGAGGAGCGTACCTTTAAGCGCCCCCTCAAGTTTCTGGACAACCCGCCTTAGTGAGCGGACATCCTCCTTGAGGCGACCGGTCTCGCCGGTCTTGAGTAGCTCGTACAGCTCATCGTTCTCTTCTTGGAGCACTTTAACCCTTTGTGTTAGGGCAGCAGTAATGGTGCTGGATGAGGATCCTGTGGCGGCGAGCGAGCGATCCTGAATGTGCGGCAACAGTAGCGACACAAGCGGAGGAGGCAACGAGATCTGGTCGGTACTTGACGGGCTTGGTTGATTTGAGAGGTATTGGCGCAAGTGAGTGACCTCGTCCTAGACCAACGAGCAGCGAGTACCACGCGCACAGGGATGTGAGCCGGGGGGTGACTTCATAATGCGATGTGGCTCACCGTGAGGTCGGCTACCTGCGCGTCGCGCTGCCTCAAAAGAGTCTCGAGCTCAATCTCCCGAGACGTGGGGAGGTCCATGGCGGAGGAAGGAACGGCAGGGACGCCGTCGGTGTTGTGCTCAATGTTGAGCTCGGTGTCGCTGAGAGCGTGCGTCTATGTCTTGAACTTAACCTGAGCCACGTGGCTGCGGCGTTTCGGCCGCATATGGTAATTCGCCGTCCCCCTGAGTCCTCGCCGCTGAGGCCGTGGTTTCGATTCCTCGACATGGTCTTCAGTGCGATGAGCTACGTGTGAGCTCTCTGTTATATTTTATGACGGCATAGGCCAGCAGAAACGTCCAGATCTCAAAGAATCACCACTCACTAATTCTGATTGATCCGGAAGTTGCTATAAACCGGTAACATTCCTGGTGTATACTACAACGTCAATGAATCTCAGAGTACTCGGCAAATTATGTTACATTGAGAATACTAAGCCATATCGGTACTTTAGATCTAACATCGCCCTCATAAGAACCATTATATGACTAGTATACAAAATCTGGAACAGAATGGAACAGTCCGATGAAGGAACGGACAGCGTAGTCGATATGAGAAAGTAGGTTCTGGTAGGTTGTGCGGTTGGTTGTTAGGTACGGTATGCAGAGACCGTACTCCGGAGTAGAATTGGACTACTCATCTGCGTTATCAGCAGCTACATTTTGGTCCGGATTCTACACCAAGATAATCAAGGTCAGCTCATGACGGCATAGAATGCAGTACCACAAAAACTCACTGCATCCGATTCTTCATCCACTAAAGTGCCGTCCGTCGATGATCCATCCTCCTCCTTGGGAAGGATATCGATGACAGGTAGACCACTCAAGATACCGAAGTCCTCGTCCAAGAAAGACTCGTCCGAGGATACGCTATCCTGCC